AGCCGGACCTGTAGGGGTGATGGGAGGATCTGCGGGATTGACCCCTTGAGAAGCTCTTCTTGTCGATCTCCTGGTCCCGTGGGTACCCAAACATTTCCACCAGCAGCCGCATGAACATGAGCGACCCTGGGGTACAAGATGTAGTCAGGACATGGGCTTCGCAGGCTCCACTCATGTCCCGAGGTCGGAACACCTCCATCATCATCGACCCTCCTCCTTCGTCCATCTTCCTCTAGGATTGTCCTCAGTGGTCAATGCATCTCCTTTGACACACTATCATGGCTCTGTAGAGTAGCGTGTTCTGGAAAATGTTATGATAGGAATTATTATTATAATATTATTATAAGAATATTATTAATTGATCACATTTAACGAATTTCAATTTCCTTAATTTTAGAGATTCTGAAAAGCCCAGAACCGAGTTATTACTTATACGCAACGAATTATTTATACGAATGTGTTACTAGAGCCGCTCTTGGCTACCAAACCCGAGCAATACCTTTCCCAAGACATCCATGGTAGAAGTCTCTTTCCTGTTAGTTCTTCTAAGTGCCAATTAAGTGACAACCTTTTGAATTCATCTTTCTTTTACAGTAATTAAGAACCTCTGTGTTTACCTTATGTATCGAACTCCATATTTCAAATTCGCAACAAAAAGCATTACCAGTAGAATAGCAAAAAATAATTAATTTCTCACCTTCAGTTCTGTTGTTCTCTGTATACAAACTAACACAAGAGGTTTCATCATGTCAAGAAATACCATTTAAAGTGACTACAGTGGAAGGCGGTTGACAAAGATTCTCTTTCAGAGAATTAATGCCATACACGAAACTACCCCACTCAGTCTACCATTGTTAATTTCAATCACCAAAATTAATCGACCTATACAAATAAGAAAAGTGCATGAACACTATTATTTGCTTAATACGTTTTCCTTACTTAAGCATGCCCTACTTTTGATCTATTGAACTTGCAACAGGCCTTATGAACGATAGCTCATTACGTGTGTAAATATTTTAATCTATTAAGACAGCGTTGTTAACTTTGCGAAAGGCTTACAGCAATGAGAGGCAATGGACAAATGTCAAGTAGATTGACAAAAACCTGTTTTAAAAGGTACGTAAATAGAAAAATCACAATAACCAACAAAAACCAAGTACATTTATTCCCTCTGCACTTAGTGCATCATTACGATTTAGAATATTTTACAAACTTAACATGTTTAACATGTTTAAACATCACGCTAAACATTTATTCCATACTTCGATATAATTAAATCGAAGTTTCCTGCAAAAGTAGCACGACAATAATTACATTAGTTTGAATTATAGTTTTCTTCATCTTATCAACTTATATTGTAGGTTATAAATGTACAATGTTTACTGTTTAAAACCAGCCGGTGTCCGTTCCCGAACCTGCATAACGTATTCTTTAGATGCTCTAAAGGGTTTGAAATCTCATCGTCACCACTTCCATGCCCTATATAAAAAATACGTCTAAAATGGTTCTGTATACTTTGTTTTGGCGCATTTTCACGACCTCCGACACTGAGATAAGGAAATAGATTGCATCGTGGTTTACTATATGGAAGTAAATACAATATTTTGAGATATCCAAATATACAAGCTGAGTCTGAGTGTTATACATCCCTCACTCCATGACGAATCCTCCAATCCTCATCTTGCAGACCGTCAGACCGAGACTCTACAGCGACCGTTCCACATTTTTTGGTCTTTGCTCACTTTGCCGATTTACATAATCTATTGTCCACTCTGTCCCACGATAGTCTAGTTATTCCATTTTTCAATTTTGTCACCGCCATGGCTGTGTTTCTTGGTCTGGAACCAGATAAATACTTTTCGGGCGAATTTTACAACGTTGCGTCGCAATCGGTTCTATCTTAGAGTAGTTTCTAAACATTTTATGTTCATAACGCATGCCCATGTGTTTAATGCTAGAATATTGCCATGGCTCCTTACAAACTAAAGACTATGATCATAATTTTATTCACACAATCGCATCATCGACGTCCGCAAGTTGAAGAAATAACCGATAGTTTACTGCAGCCATGGATCAATTTAATAATTACAATAGTTGAAATGTGACAAAATAGAGACTACATCAATCAATACTAGGCTGTGACATAGCTGTAGAAGAAAAATGTATGCTTTCTATTTGGATAAATATGTATAACATAACTGTGCTCGGCTTTAGATTCCATCAAACTAATATCCGAGTTCAAATCAATCAAATCAAAACGCATAGGTGGAAAATTAACAAGCTTAATTGCTTGCAGAGTTTGAAATGTGATTTCTATAAATACCTTAAGCCCTTATCCATTCAGTTTGATCAAAAATGTAAAAAAGCTTTATTTTAAACTGAATTTCAATCTTTAGAGATTAGTTACGATACATTCCTATTAAAGGCTTTGCTGGTACAGGACTAAGCTCTTTAATACCATTATATCAGCACACAAAATAAATTGCAATACTGTGTACATTAACGTACTCATCATTCACTTGCATCGCTCAGCTCGTTTATTTTATTAAAAATAAAAATTAGATAACCCATGTATAGATTTGCTATTCTAACCCGGTAGCGCACGGGGAATAGATTTGTCAGTAGACTTGTAGTTTTCCCCAAGTTATTTGTAATGATTAAAATGTGTTTGAAGACTCTTGTGTTTAGATATTCATTCTTACGCAAGTCTAAATATATTTGCAAGTCTTCTATTTAATTAAAATTACTACACCGTTTGTTTGTTCGAAACTCTGAACCACGAATTTCAATTTTAACCCAAAATGTCATCTACATTATTAAAAGAGGTTGTTGGATTTTTGTGTGCAGCAAATTGGCCCCTAAATATATATATTTATAGGCATAATGGGTATCAATTTAAAGCTCCATCCTCTAGATGTGCCTTTTGCGGGTTTGTATGATATCCTAAGATGCCCTTCATCCTAAGAGCTTAAAAAATTTCAGAGTTTGTACTCAATTCTGTTGTCAATCATCTGAACTTCTTCAAAGTTAAGATTTGTTTGTATCAAAAACGATGGCCATGATACAATTTTGTTAAATACATACGAAAATGGGGTTGTCGTTACAGTTGGTGATGTTTTAATGGTTTTAGTGAATTCAAGTAAAATATTGTTATGTTATTTGTATAAAATGTTAAGAAGAAAATGACTTACGCTATATTTTGTGTTGTAATAGGATTTTCTGTTTTCATTGTATGTTTTATTGATGTTTTAGTTTTAGTGAAGCCATTTGTTTAAAATGCAAAGAAAAAAATGTTGCCTCGAAGAGTTCGCGCACGCAATGAAAATTATAGGCACATGTTGAGAAATAATCGTTTTCACCCTTATCAACTATATATGAAATATAACCACGGATTTTAAAGTCACGAAGTGACGCTGGCTACTTTTTGTTTTTTATTAGTTTTTGTTTTCAAACAGCCATTGCTGTGTAATTAGTTTTTAATACCATCGGGTAGTATTATGCAATATAATGAATTGATTTTTAAAATTAATCAAGTTGCATACTATGACCTATTCTTACAAAATATGTTGACTGTAAACATACTATAATTTCCATTAAAACTCACATGGTAGATAAATTCCAACCTCCAGTTCGACCACACGCCACGACTGTACGGCACCCGTCCCAGAGTTGTACGACTGCGCTGTGCGAGCGCTACTGCGGCGCGCCTGCCTACAATCACATCCCCTTCTGGTGAGGGGGGAGGGGGAGCACAGACTAGGAAGGTCTAGGCCCGGACCTCCCTAATCAACCGAGCTCTGTTCCTCGGTTGCTAAAGGAATTCCGATTTCCTCCAGGCATTTCAGTTTGGTTAGTCTAGATTAGTTAAAGACGTTGATACCTTAGGCGATGACTTTTTTATAAATTGTTGTCATGGTTAACTTATCTAAGAGTATTTTTCGTCGGATAGTTTATGGGATATTAAGTCCAAGGAACTTGAAGTCAACGAGGAATGTTGCTGAAGGAGGCTTTTTACTCAGGTTCAACAGTTTTTTTTTTTTTTAATACGAGTTGGATGCAGTTTAGGCTATGTCTAATATAGATCAGATTTGTGCTGTGGCTATCTGTTGGCTAAGTATATAACCTTTTTATCATAAAGCGTATGCTATTTTGGGTTGTGGTTCGTTATTTGTTGTATAATTTTTTAGTTTTGCAATGAAAGCTTATGCGATTAATTTACCGTGCATATCTCACGATTGTTAAGATTGTTATGGTGATTTGATAGAAAAAAAATCAAACGGGTTTCATAAACACGAGTTTTAAATTTATTTGCTCGCGTAGTTAAAATGTAGGATATTTTGAGAAGAGGGTTCCCCAGTTTAGTGATTGTACGTGGTAGCAAAGGGTTTTATATTTTTGATTTTCCCATTCAAGAAATTCATAGGTCATGCAGAACCTATATCAGTTACTATTGAAGTAAAACAGGGCTTGATGATTCAGACTCATTCCACTACATGTGTTTTGATTAAGATTCAATCAACTCTGGCCAATCAACGGTGAAAGTGACGCGGTGTCTCAGAGTCGTGGTCCGATGCCTCCGCCACGGAAGAAGGATGTACAACCCGGCACCGACGGTAATTATTCCACAGAACAAGCGCACTTTTTTCTATCAATATTTCGGCGAAAGTGGGCCGCGCCAATTTTATTTTGGCAGCGCTCTTACGCCAGTGATGACGAAATGCGCCGCGACCGTCAATCCGGGCGACAATCGAGTAGACCTGTCAAGCCGTGCATGACAGTTGTTTGGTTTTACATCACGCCGTAACTAGAAACTCAGGTTCAACTTTGATGACAAATAGCTATGTAAATACGGTTCAAGAAGTTATTAGAGGGATGATGATAATACTCTCCTGATTTTTAGAATGACAATGGAATGCAGTAGTATGTATTTATTTTAGGTTAATCCGAAGGTAGGTTATAAATCGTAAGGAGTAAGGAATTTATATATGGTCATATTCCTCAAAGAATGAATATATTCAAGCTAAAATTTTCTGAACACAAAGGCGTAAACTAAATCTATAATTACGGGTATATTTGCTGCAGATGAAATGAGAATGAGTTTATGTAGTCTCTCCCCGTGCTACAGGTCATCATAGTTCGTTGTGACCCTTGGGCTCGATGTGGTCATCCTTGATCATGTCCGCAGCCTTCTCCCCGATCATGATGGTGGCGGCGTTGGTGTTGCCGCTGACCACTCTCGGCATGATGGATGCATCAGCCACTCTCAGACCTTGGACTCCTCGGACCCTCAACCTAGAGTCGACCACGGCCTCTGGGTCGTCGTCAGGTCCCATCTTGCAAGTCCCCACCACGTGGTAGCATGTAGTCCCTACCTGTCTCATGGCGCACCTCCAGTAGTCATCGCCGTCCCACGGGAACTCTTCGCAGACTTTGTAACGGACTCTCAACATTTCAGGCTCGTGCTTCTTCATCGCCTTTGTCCCGATGAATTTCTCAGTGAATCGCACAGAACGGAGGACGGTATCGACGTCCTCCTCGTGTTGTAAGTATCCAGGGAAGATCTTGGGAGGAGAGTGAGGATCGGTACTCCTAAGTAAGATTTCTCCTCGGCTCCTAGGTCTTAGCAGCAGCGGGAACATGATCATCAAGTCCTTTTGAGTGTTTAGACGCAACAGCTCGTCGCCCAGCTCAGAGTCTAGGTTGAACATGACGAGTACGTGTTGCAGCGTGAGTGTGTCGTTAGCAGGGAAATATACGTGATGATACTCTACGTCTGGATAGTCCTCTGTCTTCTTAGTTTCATCTGTGGTGATAAACGCTACCACATTGGCCAGCCTCACTTTTGAAAACTGCCCGGTTCTACGCGTCAGATACTCGTATAAGTCGTCTAACATCAAAAGCGGTTCCTTCACCTCGGGATGTAAAGGGACTGTGGAAAAAGCGTTTCCCAAAAATATGAAATGGTCTTGAAGGTTTTTCCCTACTTGCAGATCTTGTACTGGCGTTATTCCGAGTTCTTCTAGATGTTGTTGAGGTCCTATTCCGGAGAGCATCAATAATTGTGCTGAGTTAACGGTTCCAGCGGACAGAACTACTTCTTTTCTGGTTTTTACTTCATAGGTATTTTGGTCCTTGACAAACTGTACGCCATACACGCGTTTATCTTGGTCAATTAGCACCTTAGTTACGTGTGCCTTTTTTATTACATGAAGGTTTTCTCTGTTCTTGACTGGTGTGAGAAACGCCCTAGCTATGTTCATCCTCGCACCGTTGTTCAGAGTACCGGGTATATTGTTGAACCCTGACTGAACATCACCGTTTGCGTCTTCGGAAGGTCCGAAGCCGAGCTCCGTGCCTGCTTCGACGATGGATTGAGACAACCCATCGAAATAATGATCGTGGAAGTCCTCGAGACTCAAATAACCCCCTTCACCGTGGTATTTACTGTCCTTCAACCGATTCATTCTCATGTCTTCGGACTTTTTGAAGTACGGAAGAACATCTTCATATCCCCAACCGTCATTTCCCAAGGACTTCCAGCCGTCGTAGTCTTTCTTGTTTCCTCGCACGTACAACATAAAGTTGATCAGTGTAGATCCCCCCATCCCTTTGCCTCGTGGCCAGTAGCATGTCCCGTTTATGAAACCTCCACAGATGGTCGGATCATGTTCTGCCACGTACCCCCAGTCGTGTTCGCCCTTCTGGATGAGGAAGGCGGCCCCTGGAATGTCGGAGGTCCCTGTAGGGTCTCCGCCCGCCTCCAGCAGAAGCACTCTCCAGTCCGGCACCTCTGAAAGTCTATTGGCCAGGACGGAGCCCGCGGACCCGGCACCGACGATGATGAAGTCGTACTCCCACGGTCCACCGTCACTGTCCAGAAGATCCCCTCGGTCTCGGGGGTAGTACTGGGTTCCTCCCAGGCTGCAGTAGGAGCCCACCAGTGTGGTGATGAGAGCCGTGAACAGCTGACCCGTGGCCCCTACCGTGGAGTACTCGGGACAAGGGTTGGGGAACGACGCGACCACTCCCCCATCGCTGTAGTCCATCTGTAAAGTATTACGTATTTTAGTGTTGCGAGCAAACAAAGCCTTGGATACTGATGAAAAAACTATTTCTTGTAGTCTTGCATTACTTTTATTATTTATGATTGATGGGCCTTAATGAAGCGTTCTTGAATATTACTGTCTGTAATCTCTAAGCAATTTGACATCCCTTAGAACGAGTTTTATTTTTAATCCCTTCTTACAAACCGTGTGTCTTGGAGAATAGCTAACCTAACAGTTAAGGTGCAATGACATATCTTTGTTTGAAATACCACCAATGGTGGTTTGTTATTTAAAATTCCAGAACCCAAGTCCACCTTAAGCACAGGCAAACTAATGCATTTTTTGTAACTTAATTACATTCCTGCACAATATAATTAATTCTTTAAGTCATCCTTTGGGCAAAATATTTAATTATTTAAATTGAAACTGTCATGTACAAAATATGATTATACAGAATTTTGTATCGGTACTGAACTGTTTTTAGCAAAGCTAAAGGCTTCCTAAAGTGAAATGTTCATTATGAGTACATGAGTACTCATGATGTGAATACTTCAGATTTTGAAACATTTTAGCAAAAAAGTTTTTTGAGTATATTCATAAACATGATCATGGGATTTATCCACAGTTTACTACCACACCACAGTATATTACCACAGTATATTAGTAATCATAGATACAGGTTCAAAAAACGGTAGATCTCGAATAACAAAGACTTTTAGCAATAACACTCGATAAAAAAATTATACTTTTTTAAAGACTTAGAAGAACTTTCTATTCCTAAAATTATTTGATAAAAATCTTCGAAACCCACTGCACAGTAACCATTTTACAGAACGCCTACTATCAGTTTAAGGTTTCGATGTCTATATTTCTTGTAAGCTTACCACACTGAAAGGCTTGAAAGAAATTGAAATGGATTTCGCAACCGAGGAACAAAGCTTTATAAGAGAAATCCGGGCCTAGACCGGATAGATTTTATTGTAAGCTGGTGTGATGGTTAGGTGTGAGTACCAAGAACAAATACAGTTATCACCATTAGCAATACATTAGATAATCACGTGCCCCAATGGTTTTAAAGTTTAAGATGTTGGTCCACCAATCATATAGGTATTTAATGGTGAGAAAATCTTGTTGCACTGAAAATCATACGATAAAAAAGTTGAATTTTAGCTAATGTAAAAAATAAGTAAACTATCAAGAGTTAAAGGTCGAGGTAAGCATTAGCGGAAACATGGTGAAGACACTTTGTCTCAATGTTAGTTTAAACCCAGAGTACAGAGTCCGAAATAGAATAATCACTCAGTTAACAGTGTTTGCAATTAGATCCTTGATCAAACAAATATCGAGCTGTATACTTACAACGTCCAAGGAGAGATGCACCGGTTGAACTGTTGTAGGTCTAATGTCTAATGGTCAGACGGTCAGTGGATGTCCTCGACATTGAATCTGCTCATCTCATCTCATCTTACATCTTATAACCGCAGATACCAACCTTGAGTAGGAAAACTCTGGAGGACTTTTATATTTAGTATGACTGATCATCGTTTTCGAGCACACAAAGTTAACAATAGTTATTCTAAATTTTAAAGTATGTTTAAGACATGTCTTAAACGTTTTAACATTGAAATGGCTTTTGTTAATCCGGATGAGTATTTAAGGAAGATTGCCGATGTAAGGCGGGTTGATTGGTTTTATTATACAGGGTGAGTTTTAATTGTCCCCCCCCCCCAACTTTTTTCTACATTTTTTCAAATATCAATCCCAGACCACTTCCAAACATTGTTGGGTAGTAAGTACTTCATTTTGACAAGGTGGTCATTTCCGGCCGCCATCTTGGATCCGCCATATTGGATGCAAAATATTTTTTTCAGATGTAAAGGTGGGGTTGTGACCCATTATTTCGAACTAGATTTTTACCCTAATTGCAATGCCATAGACCGTTTTTAAAAATATTGATCCATTCCAAAGTTATGAGGCCTTTTTAAAACTTTATTTTTAGCCCATTTTAACATTGTGCATGTACAAACTAAGACCATAATCTCAAAATAGTGCTAGATAAAGATAAGTATACACTACCATTCATTGTCGACTTATTTTCACTTGGTTATGACGGATTTATTTTTTCGGCCGCCATCTTGGATCCGCCATTTTGAAATGTGATCAATTATTTTAAATATGAAGGGGGTGTTGTGACCCATCATTTCGAACTACTTTTTTAAGCTAAACTCAATGCCGCAATCCGTTTTTTGTTATCATGTTTTGATTTTGAAATATTGACATTTTTAACAAAAAAGTTGCAATATTTCATAAATGAAACTTGATAACAAAAAAAGGATTGCGGCATTGAGTTTAGCTTAAAAAGGTAGTTCGAAATGATGGGTCACAACACCCCCTTCATATTTAAAATAATTGATCACATTTCAAAATGGCGGATCCAAGATGGCGGCTGAAAAAAATAAATCCGTCATAACCAAGTGAAAATAGGTCGACAATGAATGGTAGTGTATACTTATCTTTATCTAGCACTATTTTGAGATTATGGTCTTAGTTTGTACAAGCACAATGTTAAAATAGGCTAAAAATAAAGTTTTAAAAAGGCCTCATAACTTTGGAATGGATCAATATTTTTAAAAACGGTCTGTGGCATTGTAATCAGGGTAAAAATCTAGTTCGAAATAATGGGTCACATCCACACCTTTACATTTGAAAAAAATATTTTGCATCCAAAATGGCGGATCCAAGATGGCGGCCGGAAATGACCACATTGTCAAAATGAAGTACTTACTACCCAACAATGTTTGGAAGTGGTCTGGGATTGATATTTGAAAAAATGTAGAAAAAAGTTGGGGGGGGGGACAATTAAAACTCACCCTGTATAATTGGTTATGTGAGATGTAGCGTGATATAAAACCTAATTGTTAATCTATCTAACTGCCCTGTAAGTAAGGCTCGCTTCTGTCAAGATCTTATTTACATGCAAAAATAACGACGAAGAATGTTTTATTGTTTTACATATTGAAACGAATGAAATACAATGTGACCACATGATCGCCGGTCATAACTGCTGTAATCGATAAACGAAGAATATTGGACTAGCAAGGGAAATGTGTTATATCTCAAACACTACTTAACAGTGATTGTCGTTAAATACCAGCAATACCTACGTTCAGATGTCTTTATCCATTAGGTAGTCTACATATTTCTGTGATTTAGTTGGCAGGTTACACTTGTCCCATTGACATTAGTTGGCGTCGTGACTCATTGATTTTGTATTTAGAGTATTATTTTACTACTATGTTGTGCAGTAGGTTTTTGAAAATAAGGCACACACTTTCACACTTAACATATTATAAATTCATACTCGCATCCGTTTATTGACCTATTGGAGTAGTATTAGGCTCATAATGAGAATTAGGTACAAATTTATGTATGGCGCAATGAGTTAGCTGTCGAATAAAATGCTTTGTAATGCTCACTAAATTATATGTCGCTTAAAATTTCTGTATTTGTTATGGATTGAACACCTTTGATTGATTGACAGATTTTGAAAAATAATTCGACCTCGAAAAACGAGAGTGTGTGGTTTAGGTGGAGTTGCATTAATGAGATGAGATCGTGGTAGCTCAGTTACTGGTTCAGTCAGGGTCGTTATTACACGCCTAATGATCTCTTCTCACTCATTAATTGTCACGTGTAAACACAAACTGTTAACCAGGCAAGCTTTATCTAATAAATTTACAGTATTTGTAACATGGATCTAAAGACTAACAGTTGTTTGTTGTTCTGTCATGTTGTAGGGGAAAAGTTACTGTAACACAAGTTAGGTGTGTTGGATTTTTACTGATATAATACAATGTACAGAATATATGCTAATTATAGTCTTGATTTGAGCGAGAGAAGATACGATTTGTTGGGTTTCCGTTGAATGATTCACGAATGCCATCTAGTCTTCTGAGTGGTCTGCAGCGTAGTCTGCGTCTTGTGTTTCATAGATATCCTTCTCCTCGAGGTTCAGGTTGGTAGTTTTCCAGTCAGCTCCAGGGGCGGTCCACGCTCCTCTGATCATGTCTGCTGCCTTCTCCCCGACCATCACCACGCTGGCCACGGGGTTGCCGTTGGGTACCAGAGGGAACACCGAGGCGTCTGCTACCCTCAGGTTCGTGATGCCGTGAACCCTCAACTCCGGGTCGACCACTGCACTCTCGTCAGTGACAGGTCCCATCTTGCAGGTCCCCGCCGGGTGATTCTCCGGCCCGGTGTGTTCTCTGATTACACATCTCCAGTAGTTCTCCGTTCCAAACATGAACTCCTCGCATCCTTCCATCGGAGTGCGATCCAACTCCATCTCCCATTTCCTCATCGCTTTGGTGTTTGCCATTCTTAAGCAAAATTTGATTCCCTCTATCAAAACGTCTACATCTATTTTCTCCGATAGATAGTTCGGGAATATGGCCGGAGCGACCAAAGGGTTTTTACTCTTTAGCGTCAAATATCCCGAACTCCTAGCTAGAATGTTGGTGGGCCTCATAGTTATGATTCGTTTTCCACATGGCCCTCCTACAGTTCCGTTGGTACATTCGTCTTCTTTTCCAGTTTGTGAACACTTGGCCGAGAAGCCGTCCAAGAAGAGTTGAAGGTCCGGAACGTCGTCTTTGACGTACTTACTCTTGACAAACCCCGTCACTTGAGTCAACCCCGTGCTAGCCAAGGGGCCGTCACGCTTCTCCAAGAACCACTTGAGTGTCGACTCGGTCAGCACTCTCGCGTCGTTGTCGTTCACGAAGAATTTCAGTGACGTTGCAACGTGATTATGAAGATTTTTCCCAACGGGAAGATCATGTATCACAGGTACTCCGACTCGTTCAAGCTCCTGCTTAGGGCCGACCCCAGACAGCATCAGGAGATGTGGAGATCCTACTGCGCCCGCGGACAGAATTATCTCTCGCAAAGCAATCACTTGTTGTGTTCTTCCCAACACGTCAAAGAATTCTACAGCCCTCGCCTGTTTGCTATCCGGGTCTATGATTATCCTCGTCACTTGAGAGTTTATCTTCACCACGAGATTCTTCCTGTGCTTGTTCGCTCTCAAGTACATCCTGGCAGTGCTGGCGCGCATCCCAGAGTCTACCATCATCTGGGCGATCGAGAATCCTGTCTGGTTTCTGCCGTTGAGGTCTGCCCGTCGGTATCCTAGCTCTTCTGCCGCTCTTAGAATGTCTTCAGACATGGCCGGTCGGTTTGAGAATCTGTAACCAGTACAATGCAAAATAATAATTATCTCACTAGAATCAGAGCATACAATCAATGGTAAAATTTACCTTGTTAATCTGTCCCGATTTTAGGAGGATTTCAATAAATTCACATATCGTTTCATTTTCTCCTGGACTAAAATTTTGTCAATCCAATTTAGTTTGCTAGCCATTAAGTCTTGAATATATTTTAAGTAGTTATTAGAACTAACCTCTGCACAGTAAGTGGGCCTTGATATCCGTGGTATCTCAGTTCTGTAAACTCCGGGTTCTTGTTGTTCTCAGACCTGATGAAGTACGGGAGAAGCTCGTCATAGCTCCAGCCAGAGTTGCCGGCACGAGCCCAGTCGTTGAATATGTCCCTGTGTCCTCTTGTATACATCATTCCTAGAATATTATCAATTGTCTTTAATACAACAAATCAGTCATAAAATTAATGTGTAATCTTTTGGTAGAAAATTCCTATAACTACAGTATTATTGTCAAATTCAATAAAATTAATCACTGTATTTTTTTCCTTTTTCAGGTACGTTTTATGGATACATCTGTAGTTGATCCTTTCCGTAAGTAAGTACACTAGGCACTTCTCACAAAAATAGCTTTGATTTTTGTTTTAACTTTTCATGTTCAAATCTTACTAGCAGTTGTATTGACGCATCGCTGTGAAAACTATTAACACTGTGAAATCTAATCACTCTCAAGACATAGGTACCACAAATAGACAATTAATAACATCAAACCAACAACAACCAAACGTATAATATCCTATATAAAACAAGTGCCTAATCTCCTACATATTTGTAACATGGGAGGCTCGCAGCTTTTGCATTTATGTTTTCGTGTCCCAGGACGCTAAGATCTAGTCTGCAAACCGTTTTACACATTAAGAGTTACGGCATTATCCCTGATCAAATGAAGTGATTTCCGTGATTTTAACACGAGACCTCGAGAACTTATCCTGCGTTCTATCACTAGACCATCTTACTTACCAGTCATGGCCCCAGTGCCGCCCAACATCCTGCCGCGGGGCCAGCGACACAGACCTTGTCTTCTGCGACATGCATGTTGCTGAGGTTCAGTACTGAACTGCCAGTCCAGGGCCGTTCCTACCGCGCTGACGGCGAACGCTGGCACTGCTGAGGTAGTCGGCTCCTCTGGTCCTGCCTCCAGGAGGAGCACCTTCCACGC